GTAGGCATCTACACTGCAGATTACTGCTCTTAAAGGAGATGAATCAAACTACTGGTGTGCTTTAACCAGTTTTTTGTGAAACAAACTACTGCACCCATTTAAGTGCTAATGAGGTTGTGGATTCTCTCTGCTACCTATTACCACTGCTGAAGACAGAATACTGGGTGACTAGGACCTGTGATATGATACAGTTTGGCATGTTCTTATTGCAGACATTTTTCAAGATAATTATGCTACTTAGATTTTAGTTCACTGATAATTAATAGTAGTGAGATTCACTTGCTAGATAATAATTAGTATTATCCCTCAATAGTCTTATATATATTAAGTACAAAAGACAATGCTTGCTCAAAATGAAGTGCTACTCTGAATATCTGCCTTAAATTATATATTAGGTTTTGTACAGGATATAATAGTTTTTGGAGACCTCTACACTAGGTAGTGCATACAAGCTGGTGTATGTTCATACAAGGTTATCTACTAAAGATAATTACTCCACTGTCACACACAGCAAAAATGATGCGCTAGCAAACATACGTATGTCTAAAACTGTATAGTTCACTTAAATTTGCATGGCTATAAAAAAAAGTACACAATTGCTTTTTGCACTGAGTCATCCTGATCAGCCTTGTTTTCCTATATTCTCAGTTAAGCAGTTAATAAAAGATCAGAAATTTAACATTACTTCATTCAAACCAGGAATGGCTTTTCCCCTGTCTATACAAAAATTTACTACTGGAAATATTATTCTAACAGCAAATAATGCAATTAAGTATTTGGTTTTGTTTGGTTATTGAACTGTAGGCCCAACATACCTTTTCTGTACATGTATGTCCTGGTTTGTTTCTATATTAATCAGATACGTGAAGTAATAAATTATTTCTAAAGAAATACATAAATTTTGACTGTAAGGCTAAGGAAAGCAGAGCAAAGTGCACTGACTATTATGTAATAATGAAATACCTTGACATCTAGACCACTTTATGATACTATTATATCTTCACGCTGACATATAAAAGAACAATAATACTGATATTAAGCAGTATAAAAGTATCTAGTACTACTGACATTTTGACATAAGAAAGCTTAAGGTGATATACAGGTACTCAGTGCCAAAAGATTACCTGATTTCCACAAGCTCAGCTGAAGAGATAGTCTGGGAAGGGGGAGGTGAATTTCCCCTAGAAGGGGATGTGCAGTGATAGAAGGAAAGAGTACTACTTCCATTTCAGGAACACTAATTGCTGCAACAGAAAAGTTGCTCATGGACTGTTGAACTGTACAGTCATGGCATTTTCCAGGTAATCACATTTCATCAGTTTAGGTCCTTATTGTCCTTCAGCAATATTCATGACAGTATTTGGGTTGTAATATTTGCAGAAAGTACTTATTTTTAAATACTTACTGATTTATTTTTTTTTCCCGTCAATACTGTGTCTGGGTTTTTCCACAATATTATAAGGCCAGCTATCCTCTGGAAATCTCTTGTGATGGACAGTTCTTTAAATCTTTTCTACTTATTGATCAGACAGCAAATTTTTAAAACAGGTAGTAAAAAATGGACAGCAAGTACTATTTGTGGAAAAACAGACTTTCTTTTTACAAACTGTCATGGTTTAAGCCTAGCCAGCAACTCAGAACCATGCAGTGGCTTGCTCACTCCCCCCACTTTCTTCCTCCCCTGGCTCCCGGAGGGATGGAGAGGAGAACTGAATGAATGTAACTCCCACGGGTTGAGATAAGAACAGGCCAGTAACTAAGGTGTAACACAAACCACTGCTGCTACCACTAATAATAATAATGATAAGGGAAATAACAAGGGAAGAGAATACAACCGCTCATTACCCACTGACCGATACCCAGCCCAATTGAGCAGTGATCTAGCCCTTTCAGGTAACTGCCCCCAGTTTATATAGTGGGCATGATGTGCTGTGGTATTGTATACCTCTTTGGTCAGTTTGGGTCAAGTGTCTGTCTCTGCTTCCTCCTGGCTTCCCCTCCTCCCTGGAAGAGCATGAGACTCAGAAAGTCCTTGGTCAGAGTAAACATCACTGAGCAGCAACTAAAAACATCGGTGTTCTCAGCGTTGTTCCCAGGCTGAAAGTCAAAAACAAAGCACTGCACCAGCTACTAAGAAGGAGAAATATGACTGCTACTGCTGAACCCAGGATACAAACACACAGCTAAACCAGTGAGGAATAATTTAATGATTATGGTGAGCATTTACAACCCATTACATAAAAAAAGAGACAGTTGGGGTACAAGCCTAGTTGTAGAAGGCAGTTCTTTGGAATTTGAAAGCTCATAAATTTCCTTTTCTGTAGCTTCTGATGTCAAAATGGCACAAACTTGAATATTACATGGGATGGATGTAGTCAAAACAGATTAGGTTTTATAACTGGTTATATCAAAAAAAAAAAGACTAGCCTGAATTGCTTGGCATTAACAAACAAAACTCAGAAGGTATTTAACATGCACATGCAGCAATTCTATTAGAGACATTACATGCTATTTGCCAGTAAGTGATCTTTGAACATCAGCAGCTAGGGAACTCAACAGTCAGATGCATTAAATTCAGCTGTCAAGTAACATAGTGACTCACAAGAACTTAGAATGAATTTAGGAGGAAAATACCCCAAGTAACTCCAGTTCAGTACATGTATGAGAAAAAGCAGACTCCTGCCCATTGTGGCTATGATCTCAAGAACTAATCTGAAAAACAAGCTCAAGTACTTCACAAAGCTCCTGGTTAAGAAGATAGGAGGCTGAGAGGAACGAAAAAGAATATCTTTTAAAAAATCTCTTTCTTTTGTTTTCTTGTGGCTTAAGATACAGCAAAAGTGCTCTCAGCACCCTGTCAATTACCTTGAAATTTAACTAAACCAAACTTAGCACAGTCAGTTCATGCTGTACTACCAGGTAGCATTATGCATACTCCCCTATTCATCTGTCTGCGTATTACTCCTCCAACCACTCTTCAAAGAGCAACTACCACAGACAGGTGCTGGATGGGGGGGGGGAAAGGCAGCATCCCAGACTCTTCATACAGAATATATTCTCGACCCACCTCTTTTTAATTCTGTCACACCAGATCTAGCAACAGCATGTCTGCAGACTGCAACCTAGGCTCTCTTAGATATTGCAAGTAAAGATATCCTAGGACACAGCTGATTCATGCTATTTTAATTTATCTCACTATGCTAGCTCAGAAGAGCTTTACTGAAGCAGACTCATGTGGATTTACCCCTCATGTCCGAGGATAGAAAATAATAATGGAATTCGTAATTAGAAAAATGCCAGTTTCATTACTTAGGACCTCCATATTGCAGTTCCAGGTAAAAGAACAACTGCTCCATACTCCTAGATGAAAAACCATTTAGATCAAGGCTCAGCAAAGAGCCTTGGACAAATCTGATACATCTATTTAAAGCCATGATGGAGAAGAGCAATTTATCAACATCAGTAAATCCTGATGAATGCCAAGACACACAAGTCTCCTAAATCAAATAAGGGCTTCGACCAGGTTTTGTCTAATAATTGGTTGCTGAAAGCTGAATGTGAGGTAGGACATAATTAATTGGATTCTCCCTCCTCATAGCACAGCACAGCCCTGGAGTGCAGACTGTGAAGTTTTAGGATGTCAAGCAAGAACAGGAAATTAACTTGCAGAAGATACAGGAACAGAATTCTCACCTTCTCCAGCAGGTAAGATCATATGGAACTTCATGGTTTTTTGACTGACCTTTCCAAGCCCCCAAACCTGTTTTGAAACAGAGGAGCTCTTCACTCCATCTGCTATCCCTGACTGTCACAGTTGGCCCAAATACTGTGAAATTTCTGTATATACTTGGCAGATACGAGAAATCTTTATTTGGTTTAGGTACTTAACGATACTTAATTTCACCACAGCAAGGTACTGATCTAGAGATGAAAGAGTTAAGGCATTATTTTGGGCTTGTTAAACAAATGAATGCACTATTTTGGCTTGTGAAACATATCAAGGCTTGCTCTGCCAGGGAACAAATGAGATTTTGCATGACCATGGATTTATGTAATCTTGGGCAAGTCATTTACACTTTTCTTCTCTTTTACCTTTTTTTTTTTCTTTTTTTTTTCTGGGAATACTAGTGCTAGTTTGCAATGAATTTATGGAATACATATAAATTAAAGTTTATGACTGTGCTGTAATAGTGGAACTATGTAAGTAACCTTCAACTAGAAAGGTGACACTAATATTCCTCCCACATTTCATCAAGGTATGGAGCATGCGGATGAACCTGCAGGACCTGTGGCATCCAGCAGGTATCAATCATAAGTGCAGAGGCAGAGGCATATTTACCTAGCTTTCTGATGTTTCCTTGAGACATTGCTAATACAAGAAAACAAAATGCTAGGGTCTGCACACAATCTGTTTAGGTTTTGCACTGGGATATAAATATCAATAAACACACACATACATGAAGGAAGAATTCACAGGAATAAGCAAGTTTCCTTTCCTTTAGATCAGTTTCTCCTGTGCAGGGGGAAATGGGATTCTGCGAGACTCAATTTCCTTTAATTTGCCAGAAGACAGCTTTCCCTGAGAAACAAGCTTTCAAGCTATCAGGCAGACCAGCTCTAATATTCACCCATCAGTAATCTACTGTAAGGATAACACATTTTAAAAAGAGAAAGGGATGTGATGATCCTTTTACTTCTCAGCATTTTTCATAGTTGTTCTGTTAAAAAGTATTGCTTCTTTGAGACATGTCTTGGTGCAAATACGTAGGTGACTAAGACAGTTGATGCTTTTCAAAACCCACTGGTAAAAACCCCCAAATCTCAGAAACCCTAAATCCCAGGCATCAAGGTAATGATAGCCAATATGCCACTAATTTATCTTTGCTATCTAAAATAGAGGGCTTCCTGTTGTAAAATTGTTAGCCTCACTGCTGTAAGAGATCATCTTGGGGGAGTGGGAGAAACCAGGACGAGAAGAAGCACAAGTAACACAGTCTAACCTTAATGAATGTTGAATTTCCACTGACTTGTGCCAGCAGGCTGTTCATGCCAGAAAAATGGCAGATGATGTACAACATAATTAGTGTCTACCTAGTGGAAGAAAAGACAGATTAAAGAAAATTTATTGAAAGAGTAGCCTGATTATTATCCTATACTTGAGAAAATTCCATGGAACCTGGATCTTGTAGCCACACAATGAGTCACTCAAACTTCATATGTCATCAGCTGCCACAGCCAGCAACAAAGAAGGGCTGCTAGCCATGTTTCCAGAGCCACAGCCTCTGCTGTGAGCTCTGGGGCACTGACATCCTTCCATGGTGGATTTAGTGCAACTTATGATGAGTTTGTTGCCCCTGAACAGGGAACTCCCCGAAAAATGTCTGGAGCTCAGCACTGTGGCTTCCCCCCCATGATTTATATCACCCGTTTCTGGGTTCAGTCAACTGTAGTCGGCGAAATGAACACATTTTAGATTGAGTAAAACATTGTTGAAATGCATCAATACAACTGCTCTCTGTTCAAGTTTATTGTAAGGAACTGCAGAAGGGGCCTCATACCAAAACACAGCCACTTGTTACCAATCTAAACAACTTCATGCCCTGTGAGATCTCGCTCAGGAATTTGAACTATCTGGGTGGAGGGCTGAGATAGGTGGAGTTTCCGTGAGCGCTCCTGTGGACGTGTGCAGGTGGTACAGAAAGAGAGAGAAAGGCAGGGGGAAGAAGCAGGAAAAGAACAGAGAGAATATGTTTCTCGTTTTGGTTTTGGGTTCTGGTTTGTTTTTTTCTTTTTTTCCAGCAGATGCGAGCTTGCTTTGATTGTGCTCCAAGTAGACGCAACTTGTGCTCACGCTATCAGCAAAGGCTTAGTAGCTCAGGCTACTAACCATGGCTACACTGTTTATGGTTTGGAGCTGACTCACGCCCATCCAGAGTAAAGGCTCACAACTGTGCAGTTAAAACCAGAAGAGACCAGAAAAACAATTCCAGCCACAGGCAGAATAAGCAAGTTGTGTTTCCTCAGAAAAGTATACAGGTCTTAGGCTTGTAGCAGGGCACTGTCCATAAAATCAAATTAATATTAGCACTGAGCCATGGGAATTCATGTTGCAGTTCCTGTGCTCCAACCCAGTAATTTAGCACTGGGCCACACATGCTTTCTGGCAAAACTTCTATTCTTGATTTAGAAACCAGAGGACTCTCTTCAGTTACCTACTCCATAAGTGAGCTAATCCTCATTGCTATTAAAAGTTTTGCTGACTTCAGCTTTCAGCTGTGAGATTGCATTTGTCTCATTTTTCTGTTCTCTTCCATGTCATCCATATTGTGTGACATTGGCTACATCCAGCTGATACGTATCAAATCACACACTGATATGCACATTAAAAAAAAAAAGAGATCAATGATTTCAGGCCCCAAACCTGGAGAAGAGATGCCTAAGTCCAAAATGAACACTTCTGCTTATCGTGAAAATACCAGTACAAATCTCTCAGCTTTATTCTGACGTGGTACGTGAAGCATCTCAGCACCTATCTCACAACTCAACCAGCTGAAGCAGCAAAACCATGTTCCTTTATCTGCCTGAGAAGAAAGAGGGAATGTAGTCAGGAATTTGACAATTTCTGCATCTTATAAGAAACAGTCAATGAAAATAATTCATTAACAGTTCTTGGAGCAAAACCTAAAAAACTAGGTCTTTCCACTCCCGGGTAAAGGCCCTAAGGCTGAGGAGCCCAAGATCACATCCTCTTTTCCACTGGGTGGAACTCAAAGATTTTCTGTTCCTCTGGTGCTGGTAAATTATTGGCAGTTGCAGCTCCAACAGGCTGCAGATGTCCAGAAATCCTTGCCAAATGACCACTGATCTCAAGTTTGTAGATCTGTTCCTATTCTTAAAAAGACATTGCTGCCACATGGCCTGAGTTGAGAACCCTCTTATGATGCTGAATGCTTCAGTCCCAGAGCAGAGCTAGAATTACCATCAGCATTAACTAGGCGCAAACAAGCCAAAACATCAGAGCATGCTGATTGAACAATGCATTATTGGTGCTACCTTCCTCTGACACACACAGTGCAGGAACCTGAGCTGACCCTCTACAGGAATTTCATAAATTCTGCATGAGATCAAAGGGATTGCAACTTTCAGTGCTGTGATGTTCACTTGGGTGCAGGCTCCCAAGAAAGATACTGATTTCTTAGCTATGCTGGTTGTATTGAGTTTATCCTGAGGATACATATCATTTCAAGGGCAACAACTCCAGGTCTTTTTGTGTCTTGATACATCCTATGACTGTGTCAACTCTATACTGCAGTAATCTTCTCCAAGGACAAAAGGATAATAATCCTGCATTTTTAAATTTTGAGAATAATTTAATGAAAGGTTTGGGGTGTTTTTTCCCTTAGTTTCAATAAAGATAGGATTTTATTCTCTGAGTCCCACAGTATGATGGTCAAACCTGGCAATGCTTTTAGTCATGTCTACACTACATAGTGAAGGGTGTTACAGAGGGCTACCAGAGATGACTGAAAGCTGGTTGCTTTACGCTGAAGCATGAAGTACATGCTGTATGTTACAGCACTGCTCAGACACGCTGATTCTGCAACAAAGGCATTACATCTGCATTACAAGGTAACATTAATTCTAACAATTTTTCCCCCATAATTTAGCTGCATACTTAGTTTTAGATATTTAAAGGCAAACAAAGAAACAGATGAACAGCAGATGTACGAAGTTGTGAGGTGCAACTGAAGCTGTGACCCCATTCATTTCTTCTCTAAGAACCAAGACTAACTTACAGTGAAGAAGCCAGAGAAACCTTAAATCAACAATGTAATTTTTTAATGTGTATCTTACTCTGTATGTAAAACACAACATGTCATATGCAACATGTGTTACAATAATATATTACAATACATATGAGGTAATGTATATTGGATTATATTTTTTATTACATATTATATTCCATGCTTATTTATACATTTTGTATATGTGCGTATATATATATAATTGTATGTATAATATACAATAGTTTACTTCTTCATTTCAGGAAACACTGAAGATAAATGGCACTCAGTAGATCTCCTCCCCTTAAAAGACATATCTGTGTCTTTGGCATATTGAGATACTGTGGCAAAACACTGGGGCCCTTTAACTTTACAGAGTACAACGCAGAAGTGCTTTCAGAGTATATTAGTACAGTGATTTCTTTCAGCAGCTTTGATTTCTTCTCACAGGAGTTAAGAAGAAATTCACTTAATCGGTATACCTAGGCTCAGCTTACCAACTTCTTTAATACTTAACGTCTATATTGGAGACAGTACTTACTACAAACAATCACTGCAACTTCTGCTGGCAATTAGGATGAAGAAAATTAAACCCAGGAGACACAATAGCTGACATACATACAAAGTTGATCCCCACTGGGGTGACTGCCTCACCTACTACAGTATGCCAGAAACATCTCTTAAGGCTTCACATCATCACCATGCTAGAAAATAAAAAAATAATAAAAACGAAGTGGCAGTATGTTTGACACATGTTGTAGACCTCAGAAGTAAAGGCCACACCAGGTACATAGACTCAGCTATGGATACCTGTTTGTTAAAAAATATGAAGAAACAAAGAGATCTTCAGTCAACTCCAGCTAATACTCCTCTCCCTAAAGGTCTCCACTGTTTAAATTCCAAATGCCTAAATCAGCAACTATGGGACCTCTTCAGCTCCCCACTGGAAACACTTTTTACTGTTTTTGCAGACTTCCACTGTTCAACTGGCTGTATATGTTCCCCTAAGATGACAATGCATGCAACAGCTAATACTTTATCATCTGGGAATTAGAAGCAGCAAATGAATTTTTGGGAAGACTGGTTTCTTTTCAGTTCAGGTTGTGACAAGGCATTTACAGAGTTAGCCATAGAGGCTTGTGAACATTTTAAGTATAAAACATATTTTCAAATGTTTTTTGTCTCTGCAGTTGACAGGGAAAGGATCTATAGAAGCATTCTGCTTTGGCCTAACTTCACTTCTACCAAAGACAATGGTTTCATCGTTTTCAGTGGCAGCAGATAGCTGACAGCAAATCTTTGGGAAATCTCACCAATGACATCTCCCCAGTTTGCAGAAGAGGCATGTCATGGTGCTTGGTTTATTTTTGTTTGGTTTTACCTATTTTAGAGTATTAGGAGCTAACCTGTAGCATAAATGGGTGGACTATTTTTCTTCACATATTTGTTTTTACTAGAGGGGATAATTGTAAGGTTAATTCAGGAGAGAAAATTTGCATGTAATGAAAAAAAAAAGAATGGGTGCAAGCATGCTGTAAAGAAAAACATTTTTTTAAGTGGAGCCGTATCTAAGACACTAAAATTTTTATAAAGGTATCTTAATAGAATATACCAAGCCTGCATACATATACATGTTTTGTTGTGGGTTTTTTCTTTAATAGTGACAAAATTTCACCAACAAAAATTTCAGTACAATAACCACATACCGTCTACTGTACAGAACCAAGCACTCTTCCAACAACAGTTCTATCATGCATTCCTGAACTTTAAGCATTCTTTGAGCATTAATATCTCTAAATCTCCTAAGTGGTTAGGTCTACTTATGAAAAAACAAACTGTTTATTGATGATAATTCTACAACAGCACTCTGGAAATATTTTTTTTAAAGAAGTGTTTAGAAGCTGTAATTTATAAAGTTCATAAAATGATACGATATGTTATCTTTATTTCCTGAGTTTTATTAACTGTTCCTCATGCCTTTGTTGACTGCTATGACTAGATTTTGATATATCAACAAATGTAAGTTATGACTTTGTGGCTGGTTAATATGTTTACTTATTGGTTAATATGTTTACTTACTACATTATCTAGCAGTTGATTCAGGATTTCCTATTTAAGTTACACTGGCTATTCAAAGGCCGTATTTGACAAGGTTTCCACTGCACTGTATTTTTCTCCCCGTCAGCTCAATCAATTATTTATTGACGTATTTATCATGAAATATACATAAAAAAAGGGACAAGCACAGTTAGCCCAGGAAAATATGTGCAAGAAAAATGGAAAGACTTAATTAACATAGATTTACAC